TCAATTCCTACTGTTCAAGGAACAATAGTAAATAAAAAAATCACATAAGGTGATTTATGCTTACTAGTAAAATCACAAAATGAGGTAGTTGATTATTTAAATACTAAGAGATTGTACAATGAAATTTGAACAATAATAACTACCCTAGTTTATATATTCACAATTGTTAAAATAATCAAGGTGCTATTCTCAGGTGCTAAAGTAGAATAAGTTCACAATTTTGCCATTATATTCCAAAGCTCATTTATTTGATTACCACTTTATTGTTCACCACAACTTATATTAGTCCCTTTTATATTATAATTTTATACTATAATTCTAACTTTAAAGAATTACCTTTATAGTACTACCTACTATTATATTCCCAAGCTCCATTATTTGATCATCACTTTATTTGTATTAGTCCCTTTTATATTGTCTCCTCTATTTTAGCTTAAAAAAAAAAAAAAAAAAAAAAAAAAAACTACCTTAGCTCATTATTTTACATTTGTTAAATAATTTAGGTGCTATTTTTTAGCTTAAGACTATTTACTTTGTTTTATACTTAATTCTAACTATAGATTCACTACAAATCTTACGATTACAAGCATTGATCCTGATACCAACCTCTTATTTAATGACTTAAACGAATCAAACAGTTACTGTAATTACTACACTGCAGAACAATCAAAGGCACTTCTCAGTGCCAACAACAACATAACTATCTTTAACTACAATATCAGATCTTTAAGCAAGCATTACGATGACCTCATAGCATTACTAAATTCCTTACATGCCAATATGTCCATCATTACACTAACTGAAACCTGGCTAAAGCCTGATAGTACAGATGTCTATGCCATTCCTGGTTACACAGCCATACACAACTGTAGGCCAGACCAACAAGGGGGTGGCACAGCCATATACTACTCAGACCAACTAGAATGTATCACTAATACTTGCACAAGGGATGAACATGGGGAATATATAATAGCCACATTCAAATCCAAATACCTACAAAAACCTCTCACATTGATAAACATCTACAGAGTTCCACAGTCAAACATTAGCCAATTTAGTCAAAACCTAGGAAGTATGATAACTGATGCACGCATGAACAAAGATCACTTACTACTCTCAGGTGACTTCAATATAAATCTCCTGCAAGACCAGGACCCACACGTTACTGAATTTACAAACACAATGAGTAACTGTATGTTGCTACCAACAGTAACAAAACCTACAAGAGTTACAGAGACTAGTGTTTCCCTACTTGACCACATCTGGACCAACACCATATCCCCTTTAAAATCAGGCATAATTACAGATAATACCACAGACCACTACCCTACTTCCTCATAACAACTCTTGGTAAACTACCCAAGACACTACTAAAGTCACCTTCAGACTTCACAATGAGGCAGCCTTTAATAACTTCACAACAGCAGTAGAAAAATTGACTGGCACACTGAGCTAAAAAATCTATACAGAATTGACGAATGTATTAAAATTTTATAAAAAGACCCAATACCTCTATAAAAAGATCCCAAAAAAAAACTAAACAGATGAAGCTAAGAGACGAACAGCCCCTGGTAACACCCACATTTAACCCAAAAATAAAAACCCCAATAGAAAAACAGTAAGAATGGGTCACAAAACCAGAGCCCAAAACAAAACGTTACTCGTCAACCAACCCCTGATAAAGGGCAAAAAAATTGTATTATGAAAACAGATTACCCAAATTTTACGAGGTGATAAAAAAAAGCCTGGAAAAACCCTATCAAAAATTCTGGAAAAAAAAAGTATCACGAAATACGAAATAAAAATTAGAAAAACAGATGCCCCCCAACCCCACCAACAGAAACAGAAAAACGACTCAATGATTTCTTCTCCACTTAGAACAAAACCTTGCAAAAAACCCCAAGCTCGTACCCACCAAATGACTACCTCCCCCGGAAACCCCCGAAACACTGTTCCTGCTCCGACTAACCCAAACAAAGTTCCCTTTTTATCAACGCACTAAAAAACAAGGGCAGATTTAAACCTTACCACCCTTTATATACAAAAAAAGTTTACAAGTGCTATACCAATCATTGAAACCCCTCTTTAACAAATCCTTGAATCCCCCTTTCCCTCGTACTAAAAATAGAAAGGGGGTCACCCGATTCACAAAGGAGGGACCAAAAAATTTTGAATAACTATAGGCCAATACCCAAATTTACCCCCTCTCTCAAAAATCTTCAAAAAATTAATTCAAAAACGAATCTACTCTATTTTATCTCCCAAAACATCCCAACCCCTGCCAATTTGGATTCGGCCCTATAAAAATACTAATGAGCTATTATACAATGCTAGAAATATATACAGCAATAGAGAAAAAGAAGTCCCACTGGGGATCTTATTGACTTACGAAAAGCTTTTGTACAGTTGACCATGATTGCTCCCGTAAAAATTGTCACACTATGGTTAAGGGGCCCCCTCAACTCCCTAAAAGTCATACCTCAGCAACGAAGCCATATGTGTACGCAAAAGGGGCAAAAATTTTGCACAAACAATTTCAGTTGGGTGTCCCAGGGAAGTGTCCTTGGGGCCCCCTTTTTTTTCCCTATCATAAATGACCCACAAATGCTTGCAATTACTCAAACCCACACTATTTTAGATGACAACTAGTCTTCTCCCCCCGAGCCCAGTACGCTAGCCAAATTCTGTAAAAACGAAATTTCAGGGAAAAAATCTTGGAAAGAGGCTAAAAAACTTAAATAAACATTGGCAAAACCCCTTCATTCAGTTTGGTAACAGAGCTAAGATGTCCCCCTTAAATAGATAAATGGATACCTTCACAAAAACTAACAGAGGGAAAATTCTTAGGAATCCACCTTGATAAAATTGACTCAAATTTTATACAAATCAAAAAATTCTAAGAAATTCCAAGATGAGGTTATATCGAAGATTTCGGTACTTGCCCACACAGCCCTCCTGGCCCTTATCACTCTCTTATTTACCCCTATCTCACCTATGGAATTTTTTGCATGGGGCTCAACAACAATTAACCATCTCAGACCACTAATTACCAACAAAAGGTTTGCAGTTAGAATGATAACAAATTCTCACTACAGGCAGCACACTCCACCCAATATTCAATACACTAAACCTACTCACCATACAAAACATCCATATTATTACTGCACCTATTACATACATGAACACTTAACTCTGATATTAACCCTCCCCTCAAACATTCCTTGCCAACCTCAACAGAACACATGACCATAACACAAGGCACAGTCACTCTTTGATGTTCCTCGTGTCCATCTCACACTATGGAAAAAACTCAATGCACAAAAAAAGGCCCAAAAAATCTGGAATTCATTACCTGTAAATATAAAAGAAAACACTACCTGTTTATAAATTCAAGTCTCTTCTCAAAGATCATTTACTCACCCAAAACCAAATAAATACTGAATAACTGAAACCTTAAATGTTTCTCACAATTATATCACATAAATGTTAAACCTAAAACCCAATCTAACTTTATTATTTTTTAAATACACTACCTAACAGAATACTCCATATGACTGAATGTACAACAATGCATGCAACCATATGACCTGTCTTTGTAATACTCACTTGTGCTTTATAGTAATCTGTTTACATTAATGTTTTATCACTGATTTCATCATTGCTTAGTTAATCTTAAGTTAATTTTAAGCCAGCCCGTAATGCTATGCATAGTATAAGTGGCTTTGGCATGCTGCTCTTATCTGTATTTTTTGTACTTCTGTATGTGTGCTCAAATTGTAAATAAATAAATAAATAAATAAATAAAAAATTGTTGTGGCATTTATGACTTGTGTGAAAAAACTTGAATTTCCTAACAGAAGAGATGCTCAAGAGTAACAAAATTATTACTATTATTTTTCTTAATGCCTGTATTCGGCACATTACTCACTGAGGATACAAAACACGTATGTTATTATATTTTTTATTTTCTACAAATATGTGCAAACACACTGTGAATTATCTACATAAAAGTTCTTCAAAACATTTTCAAGTCCTGTCTCTTTACAAATTTAAAATATCTGTAGGAACATTACATTTTTATGGCTGTTAAATATTAGCAATGATTTATTAAAAGTATAATGAAAACAAATCATCTTAGTTTGTTAACAGTGTAGTGAGTCTTGAATATGACTGTTCTGATGCACTTGATTTTGCTTAAAATTCATCTTGTCAATACCTAAAACTTTTGGTTTGAATAAATAATAACCTAGTTAATACAAGTGTGGCTGAAGTCGTATTTCACCTCTGGCTTGGGTAAATTCTACAATTTCTCTGCTTTTAATTTAGATCATATAATTATTGCCTCCGTCATTTTCTAATGACTATTGGCCATTTTTTTTAATCAAGTATTTCATGTACACTGAAGCAAACTCAAGACTATGTGGAATGTCTTGAAATTCCTGAATTATGGAATGAATTGTGTTGTTTAAATCTTACAGTATGAACTACACGAGTTTATATTTTAATACTAACCTGGTGAGTTTGCACTAACCTACTGTTGGCACGTCTTGTAAAAATTAGTTTCTCTATTATCTTACATTATGTACATATTACACATTCTTCTGGAAGACAAGTGGGCCCTTTTAAAACTTCACAAAAAAATAACAAATTACATATGGATTCTCACCATTGTTGAACACTTCCTTTGCTCTGCCTAAAGGGAGGAGAGGCAGTTTCCAACACTGGTGTGGGTCCCTGATTAGCAACATTCATGGGAGGAAGCTAAAATTAAAATAACTGCACAAAACTATATTTTGTTTAATTTTCATTGATAGTTAACGAATGAAAAAGTTTTGATCATGGTATGAGTATTATGAGAATACATAAATATACATTACATTGTACATTCAAAAGTAATTACATCAGTTAAATTCTTAAAACAATTTTTTTCATAAATGCTCCCACATGATCCATGAATGTAAGTGCTGTACATAATCTTACTCTTAGTTAACTTAAACAAGAAATGGATGGATTATTATAAACTGCCAGTGCAAGAATTGCAGGGCAGACCCCACATGACTTCGCTATGTTGACATTACGTGATTCTGTACAGCTTTAGGATATTAAAAATAGTTTTATATCTCTAACATAATTAACAAATATTGATAAAATACAATTTATAAAGTACTTACAGTATTACTCATATTGGCCAATTCATGTATTTCCCATACAGCATAACTAGACCCCATACAATATGACATTTAAATATTTCTCAATTTGCTAATAATTTTAAGAATTTCCTAAATGCTGCAGAGGTACAAGTAGTCAACAGTTATTGGATAATGTATACAAACCAGAAAAGTCAGCCCTTCCCTTGCCTATCCAAATGACCTGGCCTTTTCAAACAACCACTGGCACTCATTCTAAGTGTGATTAATTCTAATGCTTTGTATATACATACCAGGAGCACACAGTTTGAATCGAGTTGCTATGTCCCTCTCCTGGAACTGAATCCTGAGTCCAGTGACACCAATGTTAGGTTACAGTCAGATTCAAAGGTAATTTGTCTCAAAAAATAAGTACAATATTTTTACACTTTAAAGAATCTTTACCTTTTTGGCTTGAGTGCAACAATTAAAAGCATCTATAGTATGTGAGTTGTGACAGAACACAACCTTTGTTTGACTTGGCAGTTCACTTTATCTATACTACACCGTAGTATTGTCCATCCCTTAAGTACTTGATCCTGTTAGAATTTACACATAATCTGTTCTTTTTTTTATTTACTTGTGCATTACACTACGTAAGTTTGTACCACGGCAAGTGCTATGCTGTTCAATGCCTTAGCGTTCTCCACTTTTTGATGAAAGTACAAATTTCTCTGACTGTAGTGCCTCCTCTTTGTAAGCTGATGGCAAAATATTATCTTAGTTTACCCACAAAATATTCAAATATAGTTTTCTTGTAGCAAACCACAAATGTCCTCTCTGACACCAACTATACATTTCTTTCTTCCTGAGTCTAGCTGTCCACTCACCGCATCTCATCACAAAATCTGATGAGTGGCGCATCCCCTTGCGTTACTAGGTTAAGGTCACGGTTCTCCACCTGGACAGAATCAATGCAACCATGGAATCCTTGATAGTAGGCATGAGGCAAGCCATCTGGCATCTTTGGGGATCCACCTGAAAAATCAAATGAAAGTAGAGTTGAATTCTTCCAGTACAGTCAGACAATGCATTGTTTTCCTAGAAAAAAAAAAAAAGGTAGAACTGAGCAATAGAGAGAGGAGGGCATGGTTACCTAGACTAATGAATTCTGAATGTTCGAAATCTAGATAGTATTTATTGGCTGTTGCTAGAGTATACTTAAAGTAATGATCATGGGAAGTGAATTTTTAATGAAATGAAAATGTTTATTTCCTTGCAGAGCTTACAATGTGTGGTTTACACATTATAAGATGTTAATTACAAAGAAGGCCTAGGCATTTCGGGCAGACTAATCCTATCTCTTACTCTATAATGACACAGGTTAAGGAGCAGTACATTTTAATATACTTTATTGCATACTAGGTAACTGAAGTGATTAATTAGATTTATAATAATGAGGTAGTACAAAATATATAACAATACTGCAATTAGCAATTTTAGTAGTGGGAATGGTTAAGTCTTGGCATGATACTGTTTCTAATAAAGCTCCTATATTGGGAGAGTATCTTAGGGCTAACTTAAGATTTATTAGGCAATTTCTATATTAGGAATTTTATGTTTACAGTCAATTGGGCGAGTGTAAGTGTAAATTAGGGGGGGATAACAGACATCGAGAGTAAATCTATTTTGTTTTGGATGTGTGCATGATACAAAAAGAGAATAGGTGGTTTTCATATACATGTAGTTAACTGATGATGGGATGTGTTAGGGAGATATTTTTTTAACGATAATTTTGAAAATGGTGGTCGAGTCTGCAGTTCTAGTTTTCAGGCAGGGAGTTCCAGATTTTAGGCCCTTTTGTGTACACTGAATTTTTGTAGAGATTTAGCTAGACACTGGGAATATCATGGAGATTTTTGTGTCTGGTATTGTGTGTGTGGGTTCTGTTGCAACTATCAAGAAAGTGTTTTAGTTCAGGGTTAATATTAGAATTTATGGTTCTGTAAATGTAGGTTGCACAGTAGTAGATGCGAATGTTCTGTACATTAAGTTTAGGTCTTTGAAGACTTGTGTGTGTGAGGCGTGGGGTTGCCTAGCATTGGATTGCATGATAATTCTTACTGTGGCTTGTTGTGTTATAATTGGCTTTAGGTGCCATTTACAGGATGCCTCGTACAAACATCCCAAATTTTAGCGATAAATTAAAGACACTGATATCAACCAAATGAACAGACACCACCTTCTCTTAGCCGGAGACTTCAATATTAACTGTGGCCTAACAAATGACCAGCCAGTAACTGATTTCACGAACAAACTTTTCATACCAACCAGGCTGAGACAAGTGCAACCATAATTGACCATATATGGACTAATATACTAGCCTCCCCTTAAATCAGGGATAATCATAGACAGCACTACTGACCACTACCCCACCTTCCTTTTAAAAAACATTAGTAAACAACCACTGGAATACAAGGTCTCTTTTAGACTCCATGACGAGGCCTCAATAAGTAACTTCACAGCAGAGCTAGGTATGGTTGACTGGCCTATAGAATTCTCCAATGCCAATGGGATCAATGACTGAATAGACAAATTACTTAGACTATATAACAAACTTGTCTTCCATGGAAATATAAGCAGTATACAGTGGTACCTTGAGTTTTGAACAGCTCCCAACTCTAACAATCACGTAAGTGTATTTTTGGAGGTCTGAAACGGACTAATCTAATTTACATTATTCCTTACGGGAACAAATTCGTTCGGTATACACACTTGAACAGCCCTCTGGAATGAATTAAGTTCATAACTTGAGATACCACTGTAATGCAATCCTTTATTGACAATGTTTTGCCCACACAGTGGGCTTTATCAAGTCACAAACAGATCTGCCTGGGTGAAAGGTACATGGGTATTTATAGGATGGAGTCAGGTGATGAATGCTGCATATGACCATCTTCTGAGTAGGGTGACAGAGTCTAGGACCTTGGGTAGCTTTGGAGAGAGATTGGACAAGTATACGAGTAGACCTACTCATATACTTGTCTCGTACAGTGGGTCTACTCGCATACCTGTCCAATCTTTCTTTAAAGCTACCCAAGGTCCTAGACTGTCACCCTACTCGGAAGATGGTCATATGCAGCATTCTCCACCTGACTCCATCCTATAAATACTCACGTACCTTTCACCCAGGTAGATCTGTTTGCGACTTGATAAAGCCCACTGTGTGGGCAAAATGTTGTCAATAAAGGATCACATTATACTGCTTATGTGTTTACATTTCCATTGTGTTGGTATTTTATACCATTTAGTTCCAGTGTCTCCCATAAAAACAAAACAGATTATGAATAAAAGGCTAGGATGCCCATGGCTATCTTGCACCAACCGAGCCCACTGAAGTCACCACGATTATAAAGTCACTTAAAAGTAAATCATGGAATCTGACTCGAGTCCCACCATTATTGTACAACGAGCAGCTCATGTCCTTTCGCCTGCTATTTCATTACTCTTTTACAAATCACTAGAAACTAGCACTTTCCCGACACTACTCAAGACAGCAAGGGTTACACAAAGGTGGTGACCCCCACAGATGTAAACAACTACAGGTCAATGTCAAACTTACCATTGCTGTCAAAAATCTTCGAGAAACTCGTGCACAAGACATTATATTTATTTATAACAACACAAAGCACCCTCAACCCCTGCCAATTTGGTTTCAGGAAAACCAAAAGCACAAATGACACAATTACAATTGTAAAAATGCTAGACCTGCTTTACACAGCACTGGAAAAAATGAATATCCATTAGGACTCTTTATTGACCTAAGGAAAGCTTTTAATACAGTAGACCATGGCATCCTACTCCACAAACTTGATCATTATGGTATAAGAGGCCACGCACTTACACATTTCAAATCCTACCTTACTAACAAAGATAAAGGTTTATTTCTTTGTAAAGGTTACAATGTGTAATTAACATTTTGGTTTGCTAAGTACAAAGAAAGCCACTATCATGCTGGGGCATATCAGGCAGACTAATCCTAATATATAGGAACTGTTTAAAATTAGACAGATAATATTGCATAGTAACTACTTAAAACTAGACAAGATAGTAGTGGTTAACTGCATTAGTTTTATTTAATCTTAATACTAATGCGAGGTAGTCAAGGTGGAGGTTTTTAAGAATAATAATCCTGAAGCTGCACATAAAAACAATATTACAAGTAATAGTTCAGGCAGTAATATTTCATGAACTGGCAGAAGTTTAAAAGTCTTGAGGTCACATAACAGTATAACTAATTAGCATTTGTTTTGGTTGAATTGGTTAGTACTGAGAGATATGATTTTTTAGCAAAGTCCTAAATTTATAAGTAGGGGATCCTTTACCGGTTCCAGTAGCTAGTTCCAGATCCTCGAGCCCTTAATGTGCAGAGAATTTTGCACAGTGTGAGCCTGACATGAGGGATGTTGAAGAGTGCCTTATCCCTTGTATTGTGACTGCATTCTTTTGTGACTGTCAAGTAGTAGTTTAAGTGGAAGGTTTATAGTGGAATTTAATGTTCTGTATATGTAGTAGGCACAATAATATGAGTGTATGTCTTGTATATTTAGCAAGTTCAGGCTTTTGAAAAGTGGTGGGGTGTGCTGTCTAGCACAGGAGCTGGCAATCGTCCGCATATCAGCATTTTGTTGGGTTATTAAGGGTTAAAGGTGGTCGACTGTGGTTGATCCCCTGGCACAAATATTATAGGTGAGGTAAGGATATATTAGAGTGGTATAGGGTAAGGAGTGTCAATTGTGGTACATAGTATTGTATCTTGGAAAGGATGCCTACTGATTTGGAAATTTCTTGGATGTGGAATGAAATTTAAGATTACAGTCAAGAAGACCTAGAAATTTATAGTGTATCTTGATATAGGGGAAACATCAATACGTCTCTATTAAGGACACAACCTCAACAAAACCACTAGATACTGGAGTGCCACAGGGAAGCGTCCTTGGTCCCCTGCTCTTCCTCTTATACATCAATGATCTTCCTAATGCAGTGATTCTCAACCAGGGGTAAAAAATACATGGCAAGGGGTAAATAAATGATGTACCTGATAATTGAATAATAATTATTTCTTTAGAAAAGAGCTTTATTTTTTTATTTTTGGTGATACGAATATATATTGCTATTTTTGTGCAAAACCTGAATAATTTATTTTTTCTGACCTTGTTTTTCTACCCCTTTATGATGGCAATAGATTTTTTGTATGGAAGTAAAGGGGTAAATGGAGAAATACACCAAGCCGAGGGGGTTAATGATGGAGGAAAAGATGAGAATCCCTGTACCTAATGTATCATAACACCTGAAATCAATTCTCTTTGCTGATGACACGACTTGTTGTCTCCCACCCTAATTTTGCCTCGCTCAACACCATTGTTAATGAAGAGCTAGTAAAAATAACCTGGATTGCTACTAATAAACTTATACTTAATACGCATTGACAAAACCTTCTACAGTAGATCGTTGTTTAACACGGTTTTGTCTTGCATGTTTTGGTTTTAGCATGATTGAAGAATTGTGGCATATTTTTGTTTAACACTTTATAAAATTAATTTAACACGGTTGCAGGAGGGGAAAAATTTTTGAGCATACAGTTGCCTGCAGGGCAGGATCAGCCACCCCCACTACCCTCCCAGCCTTCAGTTCGGTTCATACGTTTGTTGGACGAACCTGTGCCAGTAGTTTACTGTGTTTGTTTAGATATGTATTAATTGCCATATCTTAAATCTGCCAAGCAATCATGGCACCCAGTAGGCATACAAGTGTTGCTGAAAGTTGCAAGAAAAGGTTTAAGTCTTAGAATTAAGAATGAGGTAAATATGAGTGTGTGATGACTTAACTTACTGAATGACCTGACTGTCTGAATGACTTGACTGATTTATGCACACTCCAGTACAACCATCAACTTCAGTACCAGAACCTCTACCATCCACCTCAGCCCAGTAGGACCACAACATAACTCTCCACTCTCTTCCCTCTTCAAGGGGGGC